GGTGAGAGTGGAGAAGACATTGACCAGTGGGACCTAGACCCAGACAGAAACTGTTTTAAGTATTTCAGCAGGAATTATTTGTATCACCTAAACAATATGAATTCATTATTTTTAGTCATCCAATATATAAATGGTAGGCAGAGCAGTAATCATTAACCACTGACCACGCCATTTTTTGCTGTTCAGCACTGATATGATACCAGGATGATGCCTGTAGCTGCAGGCATCATCCCAGTATAACTACTCAGTACCAGCATGTTGCTGGTCCATGTTGGGACATATATTTAACAGCAGAGAACATGGGCATATGATGAATCAGGTCTGTAGACCAATATGACCACAATTCAATCTTTTTTGTAATGCCCATGTTGAGGGTTAGGCCCAAAAATGTTTTACATTCAGAAACCATGATCGATTTCCATGTGAATTGTCTGGCAAGAGATAAATTTGGGTGGGTGGCGATGTATTGTGCGTATAAATTGACTTGGTCCACAATCAATTGGTACAAATCTTCCATGAAAAACAACAAAGGGGCTAAAAGCTAGTGCTGGCAGCGAACGGGGCTGACCCTGCTAACTCTGCGTTTTTGGGGACACTATACAAAGCAGAAACTAGTATAGTTCTGTTCATGATCAATATATTGCTCTGTACAAACACTATACTATTAATAGAGATGATCAGCGACCTATAGCATGAGTGCGATAGTGTGTGGGCAATCTAATGCTAGCTGATCCTGGCTGGGAAGGGAGCTTACTGACCCTGACGCTATCTGATGTCACTAGTGGCAGGAAAACAGTGATCAGTGAAAAATTCTATATACTGACACTGTACTAATGGCACTGGCTGGGTGCAGCTGCAAATACACAAAAGGATCCTTCAGGATGGAGAATGGGGTAAGGGTCCTGTAAATATGTCACATTTACCAGCTCCTTCCTTTTCTGAATGAAAACAATAAGTGATCGGTACCAATAACTCACTGTGCTCATTCATAACTGTGTTTCTTTAGGGGGTAGGGCCCAGTCAGGTTGGCTGTAAGGGGCCCTGTGGTTTCTAATAGCATCCCTGATCGGTAGTGTCTGTGGCTGCTATCTATGCACCTCCACACAGTACAAGTGAGGTGTGAGAGGGAGTGGGCGGCAACATGTTTTCAGGCTCCACCCCCTTTGTTTGTGTATAGAGTGAGGAAAAGTTAAAATGCATATTGGGTGTTTAGATTATTCCTCACATAAGTAGCTTATCTTACTCTACTAAAAAAATTACTTACTGTTTGTATTGCTTTTGATGATTTTTCCTCACTTCCTGTCCTGTCTGCACTACGCATTTCTGTGTGTAATTCGACATGCAGCTCAACCCTCCTATTCTGCAATAAGCCAGACTGAATGTAATCTTGAAGCTTTATTAACCAAACAGAGTGGATGAAATTAAGAAAAAACAGATGAAAAATACAATCAATGAAATAACATACAGAAAACATAATGGTTAGGCTTTAGATGTTGCAATGTCAGTGTGATTTTGGATGTACTATTACTTTCACACACCTGGGTGGCTGTTGCTGCCAGATTCCTGTGGCAGGAATTGTCGGATTCTAGCTGCTAGAATTAATTGATTATGCGATCAACAGCGGCTGCCCAGCCCATTTAAACTAATGGCAGTGTTACAGTGGCTGTTGGAATTCACATGTAGCTGCACGCAAAGCAGGTACCTGCAGTTAGGAACAGATGTGTGAGCCTGGATGCGGGCTGAGCGACTTCTGCTGATCGCATAAACAAGTTATTCCAGTAGCAAGAATTTGCCAGCCACAGCTACCCAACAATGTGGAAGGGGCTGAATAGTTGGAGGGGAAAAATGCAGCAAAAACGCATTCTAATTGAAGTTTATGGAGTGCATTTAAAACACTTAGCCCTGGTTCACACCAAATGCTATATCAAAGTGGTGCGATTTGGTCCGATTTAAATTTTGAATTTGCACTGATATAGACACAGGTGCAATTTCAGTGCCATTTGCCTTATAGTCTATGAGAGTTGAATTGCACTGAAATGGTGAAAAAGTAAAGCAGGAATTATTTTTCAACCCGCTACTTGAAATCGCATCTATTAAGACAGTACCATAGAAATACATTATGTAGAACCCTTTATTGTGCTACTAGAATAGTGTAGTAGAGTATTACAGGCAAAATCATTGTGTGTGACTCGTGGTAGTTGTGTACATCATGTGATGGGAGGTTGGATTATTGCAGGTCAGTTTAGGGTTGCCACCTTAAAACCGAAGAAGACATATTATTTACACAGGTTCTGTGGCTGATTAAGGTGATAATTAAACTCACTCCATGCTTTATCTGCATTAAATTAGCCTCAGAACCTGTGTAATTAATGTGTGTTCAGTTTTAAAGGGATGAGGTGGCAACCCTAGGTCAGCTGGATGACTGCAAAGGTTGTGGCTCCATCACCTCCTCCTGACTCTGGAAGCTGGTAAGAAGAAAGGGGTGGAGGCCTAATCTGCATATTCATGGCGGGGTCCATCCGGATAATCCCAGGTTTGGAGGCCCTGGTAGAGTGGTGGACTGACCTATACCTATGAGTCAGGCTGACACGGGAGTTGGGTGGAAGTTGGAGTGCTGAGTAGACTGTCAGTGGCTCAGAGGAGTCCCCTAGGTTTGGGGGGACGGCCTCTACGCTGGCTGAGGAGGATACATTCTGCAAAGAGGCACAGATGGGATCAAGGCCTGGAGCAGCAGAGAGCAAAGAGGACAGTGTGAGTACAGAATCACACTTTGAGATCTGCCAGATGTAGCAGTCTTTCTGAGGCCAGCATTGGGATCAGTCCATTATCCTTGTCTCAGGAGATCTTCCGAGGAGCCAGGAGGGCTGGTGGTGCTGGCAGGCTGTGGAGCAGCTCTATAGGCGGAGAGGAGACATCTCTGACTGTAGCTACAAGAAGGATGGTGATTTTTGAGGAGCTGCTAGTTCCTTGGCCACAAAGAACAGTTGCTACTGATCCATAATGACTGACGGCTTTCAGGAAAAGAACAATCAAGGATCTGCCTTTGTACATAGGAAAGAAGTGTCCCCCTTCCATTGTTTCAAGCCAAATTGGGCATCGCATAATCCTTATTCCCCATCCAAGTTGAATTCTCCAAATAAAACAAAGCCAAGTTCATGGACTGGTCACGGTCTCTGGATGCAAGTCTGTGTGAAAAATACCTGTTGCCTGACTGTGCAGAGGAAAGCTTAGGGATCCCCACAACAAAGTGGCCCTTTGAGGGTAGCACCACAATTAGATGAGACTTCAGGTGTGATTTGTAAATCGCATGGCGCACCTGAAGTCGCAACAGTGTGAACCCAGGCTTAGGTATGACTTTCATGCAACTTTTCAGGGTTAACATTGCCACCTCATCCCTTTTAAAACCGAACACATATTACTTACACATGTTCTGTGCCTAATTTAATGCAGATAAGGCACTAGGTGAGTTTAATGACCACCTAAATCAGCCCCAGAACCTGTGTCATTAATTATGTGTTTGGTTCTAAAGAGATGAGGTGGCAAGCCTACCCTCAAGATGCATGAAAGGTGGACCAAAGTAATGAATGAACTACTATGAAGTCACACATTAATTATCATTGGAAAACATGAGGTGCGACTTAGATGTCCAAAGTCACACAAGTGTGAATGGAGTCTACATGAGATTCTCAGATAATGAAAGCAGAGAAAGGCAGCAGACTTTTCCAGTAAAACCGGCCCCCATACAGCGGTCCACACAGTGGTCGCCCCACGGCCCCCATACAGCGGTCCACACAGTGGTCGCCCCACGGCCCCCCGTACAGCGGTCCACACAGTGGTCGCCCCCACGGCCCCCCGTACAGCGGTCCACACAGTGGTTGCCCCACGGCCCCCCGTACAGCGGTCGCCCCACGGCCCCCCGTACAGCGGTCCACACAGTGGTTGCCCCACGGCCCCCCGTACAGCGGTCGCCCCACGGCCCCCCGTACAGCGGTCCACACAGTGGTCCCCACGGCCCCCCCGTACAGCGGTCCACACAGTGGTCGCCCCACGGCCCCCCGTACAGCGGTCCACACAGTGGTCGCCCCACGGCCCCCCGTACATCGGTCCACACAGTGGTCGCCCCACGGACCCCCCGTACATCGGTCCACACAGTGGTCGCCCCACGGCCCCCCCGTACATCGGTCCACACAGTGGTCGCCCCACGGTCCCCCCCTACATCGGTCCACACAGTGGTCGCCCCACGGTCCCCCCTACATCGGTCCACACAGTGGTCGCCCCCCACGGTCCCCCCTACATCGGTCCACACAGTGGTCGCCCCACGGCCCCCCCTACATCGGTCCACACAGTGGTCGCCCCACGGCCCCCCCTACATTGGTACACAATGGTCGCCCCACGGCCCCCCTACATCGGTCCACACAGTGGTCGCCCCACAGCCCCCCTACATCGGTCCACACAGTGGTCGCCCCACAGCCCCCCCTACATCGGTCCACACAGTGGTCGCCCCACGGCCCCCCCTACATCGGTCCACACAGTGGTCGCCCCACAGCCCCCCCCTACATCTGTCCACACAGTGGTCGCCCCACGCCCCCCCCCTACATCTGTCCACACAGTGGTCGCCCCACGGCCCCCCCCCTACATCTGTCAACACAGTGGTCGCCCCACGGCCCCCCCCCTACATCTGTCCACACAGTGGTCGCCCCACGGCCCCCCCCCTACATCTGTCCACACAGTGGTCGCCCCACGGCCCCCCCCCTACATCTGTCCACACAGTGGTCACCCCATGGCCCCCCATACATCAGTCCACAATGCAGCCACAGGGCGGTCTCCTTAGACCGGCACACACCGCGGTCACACCCAGACAGCATTCTTGTCTCTCCAAAAACTTCTCTCTCACTTCTCTCCAAAAACGAAACTACAAGCCACGCCCCTGTGCGGTGTAGCAGGATTGTGTGTCCCGCGGAAATCTGTCCGGGCGGAACTCTCGTTTACTAGGAAGTGGCAGAACGTTCCGCGGCTGGTGTGACGGTTGTCTTGGCGGGCAGAAAGAAGAGCCGGAGATGAACACTCGGGCTACACAGAGGAGGGGCGCGAAGGAGGCTGGCAGTGTCGGTGGTATGCGGTGTACAGGGGGGAAGACAGGCCGGGGAGGGAGGGAGGCTATGAGAGGAAAGTGAAAGTATGAGTGTAGTCCGCTCCTTCCTTCTACGTACTGTGTACTATGGGCAGTCCCAGGGTGGGATCTCTGACAGACTCTCTGGGAAGTGTCATTCAGTGTTCTGGTGAAGAACTCCAAATACTAATAATAGTCTCAGATGAAGGCTGTGTGTCCGTCCTCCTGACCCCCGCACTCCCTCCTGGCCCCCTTCACTCTCCTCCTGGCCCCCTTCACTCTCCTCCTGGCCCCCCCTTCACTCTCCTCCTGGCCCCCTTCACTCTCCTCCTGGCCCCCTTCACTCTCCTCCTGACCCCCGCACTCTCCTCCTGGCCCCCTTCACTTCTCTCTCCTGGCCCCCTTCACTCTCCTCCTGGCCCCCTTCACTCTCCTCCTGGCTCCCCCCCTTCACTCTCCTCCTGGCCCCCCTTCACTCTCCTCCTGGCCCCCCTTCTCTCTCCTCCTGGCCCCCCTTCACTCTCCTCCTGGCCCCCCTTCACTCTCCTCCTGGCCCCCCTTCACTCTCCTCCTGGCTCCCCTTCACTCTCCTCCTGGCTCCCCTTCACTCTCCTCCTGGCCCCCTTCACTCTCCTCCTGGCCCCCCTTCACTCTCCTCCTGGCCCCCCTTCACTCTCCTCCTGGCCCCCCTTCACTCTCCTCCTGGCCCCCCTTCACTCTCCTCCTGACCCCCAGGGTCAGAATAATGGCCATGAAGAAGACCCCGCCCCTCTCCCCTCCAGGGCAGGGTGACAGGTTCTTTTGATTGGCCCATCCCTCACCAGTACTCCCCATAATGGCCTTTAATGTGCCTGAACCCCCAGAAATACCTGAAATGTTGGGTGTGACCCCCCCCCCCACCAAGCACTGTGCTGAGGATACATTCACACAAGTTTCCTACGTTGAACCACTCGCCTACAGGGCACTTTCACCCCCTTCCTGCCCATGCCAATTTTCAGCTTTCAGCACTATGTCACTTTGAATGACAATTGCACGGTCATGCAACACTGTACTCATATTAAATTTTTAGCCTTTTTTTTTTCTTTTTAGACACAGCTTTCTTTTGGTGGTATCTAATCACCTCTGGGTCTTTTATTTTTTGCTAAACAAACCAAAAACTGAAAATTTTGAAGAAAAAAAAGTTTTTTCTTCGTTTTTGTTTTAGAATTTTGTAAATAAGCGATTTTTCTCCTTCACTGATGTGCGCAGTGATGGGCACTGATGAGGAGGCATTGACATGCATCACTGATGGTCACTGAAAGGCAGCACTCATATATGGCACTGATAGGTGGCACTGAAAGATAGCTCAGATGAGCATGGATGTGTGGTATTGATGGGCACTGACAGGTGGCATTGATGGGGCTGCACTGATCATCAGGGCAGTGATGATCAGTGTACATGTCCCCTTTGAGGAATTCCGATTATCGGCTCTTTGAAAATAACCCAAATTAGGATGTATTTTTTAGTTTGTAGGAAAGTTATAGAGTTCACAAACTATGGTATAGATCTGAATATTGATCAATCCTGAAGTACTGACAGCCAATCTAATTTCTTGAGGTCCAAGAATGTCAGACCAGTACAGATATCCCCCAAATGACCCCTTTTTGCAGAATAGACAGTCCGACGTACTTCATAAGAGGCATGGCGAGTTTTTTGAAGTTGTATTTTTTTTTTGTCATAACTTTTTGGAAAATGGAAAAATTAGTTTCACTATTTTTTTTTTTTTTTACATATTGTCACCAGTGCAGTACAGCACAGCGTCATCATATAACTGGCATGGCGGTGATCAGGGACACTGACTGGTGGCAGTATGAAAAAAAAATATATATATATATTTTCTTTATTATTTTTTATTACATTTTTTTTCTTTTTTTTAATTTTTTTTTTCATATTTCACTATGACCAAAGTAGTACAATATTACCATAGTAACATTGTACTACTTTGGGGAAGTGATCAGTATTTTTTTTTTTTTTACACAATTTGCTTATAGCAAAGAATTACTTTGCTATAAGCAAGCATTTACCGGAATGACATTGATTCATTCAGGGGTTTTTTTTTTGTTCTTAGCTGTGATTTGGCCACAGCTAATCACATGACATGTGCATGTGATTAGCTGTGACCATTCACAGCTAGACACTAGTATACAATGGATGGCATGAATGAAGCCATCCATTGTATACAACTGTCATGCGACCTGCTGTGATTGGTCACAGCAGGTCACATGGTACCGGCAACGGGTACTCAGATCTGTCATTGGCCATGTCCGAGGTACACGGCCGGTGACAGATCGCGCCGCTGCGCGGCTCTGCAGGAGCGCAATCTGCGCATGTGCGGGAGGACGCCATATGGTATCCACCCTGAACGCTGATGACATTTGCTGGCCATTGGGCGGGCAGCAAATGGTTAAACATGTCCTGTAAAAAATCAATTTTCGTCATAAATTTAGGCCAAAATGTATTCAGCTACATGTCTTTGCTAAAAAAAAAATTCCAATACGTGTAAATGAATTGCTTTCCGTGAAAGTTATAGTGTTTGAAAATGGCAGTATATATATGGGGATTTTTAATTTTTTTTTTTACATTTTTACTAGTAATGGCGGCTATCAGCGACTTATAGCGGTGCTGCGGTGGCCATCTGACACTGAAGGCAACTGACTTGGTGTCACTGACATCCCTAGTGGAACCAATACAGTGATTAGTGCTAATAAAAAGCACTGACACTGTACTAATGGCACTGGGCAGGAAGGAGTTAACATGTGGGGCGATCAAAGGGTTAACTTTGTACTGTTTAACTGTGTGCTGTTTGTTAGTGCTTCACTGTAAGCACACTGCTTTGCATGGCTGTGCTGTGCACAGCCATGCAAAGCAGTGTGCACAGGCTGACGGGGAGGAGAACTGTTTTGTTCACTAACAATTCTCCCCCCATTGGAGATGCTCGGCAATCGCCGGCCGGAACCTGGTGATTGATGACCTCAAATGGTGGAGCATATTTACATGATTTTGCACATCCCATAGCAGTATATTTGCTATAGGGCGGACAGGAAGTGGTTAGCTACTTAACTCTTTCCTGCGGACAATACACCTATATGCAGCCTCTCAGCAGGTGGGTCTTGATGCAAACCTGTGCTGAGAGTGAGCTCCGAGCACAGCTACTGGCGCCTAACAGCTCCCAATTGCTGCTTTCGTACGGGAACTTTCATATCATGTGACTGCTGTGACAGCCAAACACATCGGTCACATGATCGCAAACCCCACCCCACTTCCCAGCACCAGAGTATTGGTAAAGGGGCTGGAGGCGCCAGTATTAATGGGTTAAGAACACTGGGAATGGTGCACAGACCCCAAAAAACGTTATGGAAGTGCATACATAGGGCATGTGTAGCACATCCAGTCCTTCAACCACATGTCCCTTTTTGCAGAAACGCACTACAGTCCTTTTAGCATAGTTTTATATGGGACATGTCCCCTCCTGAAGACTCCTGGGATGTATGACATCATTTGCCTAGGCATATAAACTAGGAAGTAACTAGTAAAAAGTTAAGGTAGAAAAAAAATTGATGCCTGTGTATTTAGTGAGAACAGTGACCACTGATTGATTGCATTTCATTTAATAGTCGTGTATCTGGAAGTGGGTGGGATGTAGAAGGGTAAATGACGCAGGGTGTGTGCTAATAAGGTCAGCTGATCAATTTTTTCCTGTGTCATGACCTAAAGTCTCTACAGGAAATAAGGCAGAAGTAATGGAGAAGCTTTTTTTATACAGCCATCTGGACACTTGACATAAAGGTGGGTAGAAGAAATGGAAAGCTTTTAAATTTCTTAAAAAAGTACATTAATGCTATATTGGTACAAAGGGGAGCTGGAATTTAGAAAAAAAAAAAGGTGAGCAAAAGTGAACTTATCCTTTTAAGCTCACCTGTGTTTAGATGTACTTACAAGTATGTTTACATGCATTAAGATGAGTTCAGAGTATCAAATCTGCCCATGGACACTCTATTTTCTCTGAACACAGATAAACTGACTAGAGTTATTTGCCAAAAATGTTCTTTTTTGTTTGTTTGTTTTGCAGATAATGAAAAACCTGGTCTGTTGAACCGACCGCCGATCAGGAAATCCCAAAGATGTAAATGGCGCATGAGTAACTTATATAAGAATAATGTTGTCTGGAATATTGTAACAGAGCAATGAGTAATAATGAATGAAGTTTCGTTCCCTATAAGTGCTGATCTTCTTTGTTATTTTGTTTAGTTCATCCAAGATTTTCCCTCTACAACTATACTTTTTTACCTGTAGATTTTTAACTGTGTACTAACACTTCAGTATATTAACAAAGCAAATCAGTAAGGCTTTTGAAAAAAAGGGCTGTAATAACCTATTCAATATTTTGTTGTATTGCTGTTTTTTTTGCGCCCTACTTAATAAACCCACAGACAGAGCCCAGGCTAGTAAAATGGCAATGTTTGCTTCTGACAGAAGGAACGTCTGTGTCTGATTTGTTTAAAAGCTGGTGGTTCCAAACAGGGTGGATTTGATTTAAATCAAACTGATTTAAATCACGATTTAAATCACTAGTCAGTAAGGCTTGATTTAAATCCTAGTTTTCTACATAAAGACTAATTCTTGCTGGTATAACTTTAATATGCAAGTAGATGAAGATTTTTAGAATAACAACTTTTCAGTTTAGTTTTTTTATCCCCAGTTTAATAGGTTAATCATTCATATTTGGACAACTTTTCTGTTGTACTTAGGAAGGAGAAAAATAATCTTTACCTTAATAATAAAATTTAAATAGATTTATTCAACTGAAACAAGAACATTACAGCATATTTTATTTGCTTAAACAAACATCCATGTTTGTTAACTAATTTGGCTAAACAAAATATTTATATTTTAAGAAACTTAGACTGTCAGCCCCTTCCTCCTCACACTTAGTTTCACTTTCTTCTTGTGCAGATCTATTCCACTCCAAACAATCAGAAAAATATTGTTTCTATTCACTGAACTTCTTGAAACTTAGCAGTGAAGGGGTTGATTCTGTATTCATAGGTTTGTAGAAGTTAGGATGAAGGTCTTTTTCTTAACTCTGTTCATGTTATAACATTTTTGCTGTGAAGAAGAGGCATGTGATCTCCGCTGAGTCAAATTCAATTTTGAGAACTGCAAAAGTAAACCAAGAATCTGTGATAATATCTTGTAGGCAGAGAAACTGCCCAATAATCTTACAAAAACCTCTGGAAGAGCATGACATTGTGAATGGATTAATGGAATTTATTTACCAAAAAATTAAACATGTACAGCCTTATTCTACATAATTAAAAAACTAATCTTTATTTCATGATGGAATAACCTTTGGATGGTAATATATTTTCCTCAAAAAGCATTTTATCTAAAAAAAATCTGATTTAAATGAAAAAAATCTGATTTTTTTTTTTTTTTTTATCTTGATTTTATCCACCCTGGTTCCAAACCTAAGAAAATGTGGATCCCAAACGTTTACTCTACAGTGCCCATATAAATCAAACCTGCTGTTTATTATTACGCATGTTAAAATTTGCATTTTTTTTTTTTTTTGCTGCTGGAAATTATTGTAAACCCCCCCACAAAGTGTATATTTTCTTAAACAGCGACCCTGGAGAATACAATAGGGGTTGTTGCAAATTTTTTTGTCACACAGTATTTGCACAGTTATTTATCAAATGCATATTTTGAGGAAAAAATACACTAAAATGAATTTTAGTGCAAACACAATATACTAAATTTTTGGGGCAAAATATAAAAGATTGGGTTCTGTTGAGTAAATAGATACTGAACATCACATCTTAAAATTGCGCACACCTATGGCATTGCAAAATACCATGGTACCAAAAATTCTCTTTAGGTTATGCTTTAAAAGCCTTTAAAGGTTATCCGTTTATAGCTAACTGTGAACTATGGCACTAGAAATATTACTCACTCCAACATTTAATATCCAAGTTTAATATTGTACTGTTAGTCATCTCCTCGGAATATTATACAGTTTGATTTTCTGCCCTGTTTGTTTGGGATTCAGTAAAGAGGAACTGAAATATGGAAGCTATGCCCACAAATTGCAGACAGAAGATGTTTGCAAATGTTCAATACAACATAGCAAATCTTTGCTTTTCGAGTTCAGGTCCTTTTAGGATACGTTGAAAGATTATCTTTAATTGCATGCCATGGATTCCTGCACTCTCCACAACAATTAACTTTTATATTGACTTACAGTAATTACTAAGCAGAATGACAACATTTACTTTTCATTAGTAAAATAGCACCAAATAAAATAAATGTTTATTTTCATTTCAGCTAAAGGAACTGAAGGCAGTGATGATGGCAACAAGACAAAAAACATTCAAGACAAGGTCTTGGCAGGTCTTGGTGACAGCACAAAAATTAAGACTAGTTTCAGTGAACGTGTAGCCAGCAAAGAGAGTCCCAGTGACAGCAGAAGGAAGGCGAACAATTTAAAAAAATCTGTCGCAGTCGATGAAGGAATTAGTAAGTTACAAAGTGGTTTCCCTGAATAATGCTCATACGTTTAAATTGCAACCCATTGCTCACCAATTCAGTCCTGTGGGTTGTGGGTATTATGTTTTATAATACAAGTAATTTAGGGCTAGTTCACACTATAGAAACGCAGTCCATATCTGTTTTTAAATGCGCGTTTTTGGTGCGTTCCAGTGCGTTTTTGATGCATTCCAGTTAATTTTTTTCTTGTATGGAACTTTTATGTTCCAGTACAGTTCAGTGCAGAAAAAAATGCAGCATGTTCTACTTTTTTTTTTTTGCAACTGGAACTGCAAGCACTGATGTGAACTATGATATTGACAACCATATAACCTACTGTCTGTGTATTTTTTGGATGCAGAAAGAAAGCAACTGAAACATGTAGTGTGAACTGGCCCTTAAGTAAAGCTGTAATGTCATAAACATTTGTTTAACCCTTTTGCTGCCTTACATGCTCTCCACTTTTCACCTCAGGTGGCCAGACCATTTTTGCAATATTTCACTTTTCCTATACTTGTTCCTGCAAAGCACATGAGAGGCTCCATCTAAAACAGGAAATTCGAGGCTCACATCCACTTAAAAAAACACCAGATACCTGGTGGCCTCAGTTTTCTGTTTGCCTGGTCTAGCAAGAACAACTTTACAAGTAGTATCTTGTTTTTTTGACTACTGTGCTAGCAGGCAAGGGCCCTACTCTGTCCAGCCAGTTTTCCAGGATGTTGTTCTGTTGCTTTAAGGAGAAGGTGCAGGGGACATTATATTTTTTTTCTTTTAAGATAAAACTCCTAGACACTTTATGAGGTACATTTTTCCCTTGAAGTTTCCTCTATTCTAGATGGAAAGGCATCTATCGCCTTTGGTATTAGTGGACCTAGTGGATCCCCTTCCAGATAGGGCGAGAATGGTGATGTCAGTTCAAAAAAGTAAAAGCAGAGTCTATTTAATTTCTTTGGGTCAATACTGGAATGCCCTCAGTGTTTTGGGGGTATAAGGCTATGGGTAGTGTTTGAATGCCAGAGTTATTCTCACATGGTTGCAGCTGGACCAACGTAAGTGCTCTCCTCCTTTTCAGGTTCTTTTTTTTTTCCTTTCCCTATACGTTGAGGTATTCAATGGATCCCTATAGTGTGTTAGGCTGGCACAGTGTGCCTGCACACAATGAGGTGCCTTTTTTCCTGGTCTCTGAACACTGCACTTCTGCCCTTAAAGGGGCAGAGGAGTATGCCAGACAGCAGGTAATGCTGTCACTTCTGCCCACTTCTTGGTGTCATAGGATTATGGGCGATAAAATGAGAGGAGCCACATGACTGTGTTTTGAAAGAAGCATGGATCAACATACCTTATAACCAAGTGGCCATTGCGGAGGGAGCGACTGAAGCAGCAATATAAGGTCTCATCGCTGCTACTCGAAAAAAACGTGTGTGGCCCCATAATAAGAGAAACTGCATATTATTTCACGTCTTCTTCACTGGTTGTATTCAGGGATTAGACAGAGTTCATCCTGCATCCCTAGGCTATACTGTAATGAGGGCTATCATTATCCTTTATGAATAACAGTTACATATTAAGTTCAGACAGACATAACCCTTGCTGGTCCTTATAACAAACCTAGACACAGAAGATGTAGCTTTTAACATCAAATTGTCAGCTTCTATGCATAAGCTTTTTATGTCGGTATTGCTTTGATAAATTTATGGCTGACAACTCCCCAATCTCATTAAAGGGGTTATGGATACCATGAGAGAAAAGTTGACTTCTGCCTTTCAGTCATTTCAGAGCACTTTTTGCAGGACTTTTTAAATCAGTCCATTACATCCTCTGCTGCTCATCTATTCCATCTATGCCCTTGCTAATCCTAGAAGGTTGCTGCATCACAGAGGACTCGCCAAATGTGGCAGATTTCGCTAGTGAACCTGATGGGTAATAATCTTCTGCAGATGATGTTCTAGGAGGCAAACCTTAAAAAGTTTTTTTCCATCTAGAAGATAGGTGCTTTCCCAGTATACAATGTATTGTGAGAGTCTATTAAGACAGAATGAAAACAGGTTATCCCTTGTAGTCCTAAATAGGATTCCCTTCTGCTGAGTAAATATTAGTCCTTTTTGGATCCTGGAGATAAGATGGCAAAATCCAGTCTAAGAAAAACATTCTGCTTCTGGTCCAGGCCTAGGCAGCAGCAGCTCCAAGGTAGTTTGAAGGTTGTTTGTTCACTTCCTTCCTATTTTTACACATCCTGGAAAGTGGAGGTCACAGGTGTGTTTTACCCAATTAAGTATTATGGGCACCTGCTTAGCGGAATGGTGTTATTTGGTTTGAACCTTGTGTTTCTTATTATAGGTATGCTACCCTGGAAGATTCTTAGAAATCAGTTTACCTAGTAACTCCGTTTTTTTTTTTTTTTTCATTCCAAACCATGCATTTTCTGAAATTACAAGACAGGTAGAATAAAATTATGGTGCTACTGATTTTACTGATCCTGCACAAATGTTTATGGAACCATTATTTTCAATAAAAAATACTCTATAAAGTCATTATAAACACAATATAACTTACAAAATTCTTATTAAATCTGAAAAATATAACTGTATTGAGTTAATAAATTAGAGATATTTGTAAATTTAAAATTGGGTCTCTTTGTGAAATAATTAAATCAAAGATGCACAAAACTGTAAATAAGCATCTTTTGCTATATAAATCTGGAGGTTGGCTTTACACTTATGTGTTGGGGAAATGTGTGTTCTTTAGTGCCGTAGGTACATTGCAATAAAATGAATCGGGCATATGTTTTATTTCAGTGCAGTGCATTACAGTGCGTGACTTTGTGTCCCAGTGTGCTGCTATATATAGCGTTCAGTTATTGTAATTGAAAACATTTTAAGAAAAGAAATAAAATAAAAACTGTGATGTGTAACAGCACACTGCAACACACATGCACAGCACACACCAGCACATGTAACGTGCACTATAATGTGCATCCACTGATGTGCAGGGGGCCCTTAATGTGTTGGTGCACCCACACACAAAATGTGCATTACCACAGCGTATTTGGTACACGTGTACTTTATTTTTTATCTAGTTTGTATGTATGGGAAACTGGGTGTAAACAAAGCTGTTCTCTCCCCTGTCAGCTCCTGCACACCGCTTTGTATGGCTGTGCATAGCAGTGAAGAACAAACACAACACACAGTTATAAATGGCTCACAGTTAACCCTTTGATCGCCCCACGTTAACCTTTTCCTGCCCAGTACCATTGGTACAGTGTCAGTGCTTTTTATTAGTACTGATCACTGTATCACCATGGTGACACTGTACTACTTGTGGGGGGGGTAGTGATGAAGATTTTTTTTTTTTTTTTTACACTGATTGCTTTTACACCCATATAGGATGTAAAAGCAATCATTTCTCTTTCTCTCTGTCTGCATTCTTTGCAGGCATCTTTCCTCACCCTGGTGACAGTAAAAAAAAACCCCAAACATTGTCTTTTCCTTACTAGGAACGCAATGTAGTGTTTACATTGGAGAGCAGCAAGAGATATTGGGAGGGCACAGCAAAGACAGTGGGCATGTGTAGGGGACTCAAGTAGTCTTGTGGCACCTGACTGTCCACTAATATCTATCCTGAAGGGTGTGGCAGGATGCCTCCCCTTGCAGGGATTGGAGAGCACCAATGGGGAGATTTATTGAGAAGTATTGAGTGAGCTGTGATTGGTCACAGCTTGTCACATGGTACAAGGCTGTTGTAAATAGCCTTGTACCATGTGACCTCTGTGATCATTCACAGATTTCACACGTAGTAAGCAATGATGTCACAAGTGACATCTTGCTTACTACTTTGCATGTGATCACTGATTGGCCAATCAGTGATCACATGATCGGGACCTCGTACAGAGGTCCCGTCCGATCGGTGTTTCACTGTGTATGGGGGACACAGCGGGCACCGGATCGCGGTGCTGTGCGCTCCCAGGGAGCGCGCACAGCTAGAAAAGGCGGGTGCCGTTTCTGAACGGCAACCCGCCCCTGGACTGCCACCGCCCTGCCGTTTATAAACAGCAGGCGGACGGCAAGGGGTTAATCTTCAGATTGTATTCAAAATCCCTTGAATTCAAGGATCAAGTTGTGCTTAAAGTGATTCTAAAGGCTATATTTCTTTTTAATAACAAACATGTCTATACTTTTCTGCTCTGTGCAGTGGTTTTGCACAGAGCATCCCAGATTCTCCTTCTTGGGTCCCCCCGCTGGCGCTCCTGGTCCCTCCCTCTTGTCAGGTGCCCCCACAGCAAGCAGCTTGCTATGGGGGCACCCGCTGCTCCGTGTGCCCATCCACACAGGAAGCTGCGGCTTGGCTGTGCCCTCTCTCTGCTCATTGGCTCACTGGCTGTGATTGACAGCAATGGGAGCTAAAGGCTCCCGCTTCTATCTCAGCCAATGAGGAGAGGAAGTCCTGAGGTAGCCGAGACTGCAGTGCACATCGCTGGATCGAGAGGGGAATTATGTAAGTATTAAGGGGGGCTTAGGGGGATGCTGCACACAGAAGTTTTTGATCGCCTTCTGATTTGGATTGTTTGCCCACTCACAAAGAAATGATCAGTCTGAAAATTGAATGGTAGGTGTATTGTAACACTGAGAGACAGAATAGCAACAAAAAATTTAAAAGAAATGCATGTCTAACAAATTATGCACTGATTTGCATGTTCATGAGGGAAATAAGTATTTGATCCCCTTCACAAAACATGACTTATTACTTGGTGGCATATCCCTTGTTGGCAATCACACAGGTCAGACGTTTCCTGTAGTTGGCCACCAGGTTTGCACACATCTCAGGAGGGATTTTGGCCCACTCCTCTTGGCAGATCCTCTCCAAGTTATTAAGGTTTGGTAGCAGAAAAACACCCCCAAAGCAGAATGTTTGCACCACTGTGTTTCACAGTTGGGATGGTGTTTTTGGGCTCATAGGCAGCATTCCTCCTCCTCCTCCAAACACGGCGAGTTGAGTTAATGCCAAAGAGCTTGATTTTGGTCTCATCTGACCACAACACTTTCAACCAGTCCGCCTCTGCATCATTTAGATGTTCATTGGCAAACTTCAGACGGGCCTGGACATTTCTTGAGCAGAGGGACCTTGCGGGCACTTCAGGATTTCGATCCTTGTCGGCGTAGTGTGTTACCAATTGTTTTTTTGGTGACTGTGGTCCCAGCTACCTGGAGATCATTGGCAAGATCCTCACGTGTAGTTCTGGGATGATTCCTCACTGTTCTCATGATCATTGACACTCCACGAGGTGAGATCTTGTATGGTGCATCAGACCTAGGGAGACTGACTGAATTGTTTTTTGTTTCTTCCATTTGTGAATGATTGCACCAACTGTTGTCACCTTCTCACCAAGCTGCTTGGCGATCGTTTTGTAGCCCAGTCCAGGCATGTGTAGGTCTACAGTCTTGTCCCTGACATCCTTGGACAGCTCAGCCACGGTGGAGAGTTTGAAATCTGATTGTTTGATTGCTCCTGTGGACAGGTGTCTTTTATACAGGTAACAAAATGAGATTAGCAGCACTCCCTTTAAGAGACTACTTCTAATTTCAGCTTGTATGAAAGACACCTAGTAGCCAGAAATCCTGCTGAATGATAGGGGATCAAATACATGTTTCCCTCATGAACATGCAAATCAGTGCATAATTTGTTAGACATGCATTTCTTTAGAATTTTTTGTTTCTATTCTGTCTCTCAGTGTTACAATACACCTACCATTCGATTTTTAGACTGATCATTTCTTTGTGAGTGGGCAAACATTCAAAATCTGCAGGGGGTCAAATACTTATTTCCTTCACTGTAACTGTATTTTCTTTCTTGAGAAGGCCAAGTTTGAACCACCGTTATTATTTTAATTTTTTTTTTTTTGTAATCTACAGCCACATAGTCAGTTCAACTCTTGCTCTTGTTAACCACTTGCCTACCAGGCACTTATACCCCCTTCCTTACCAGGCCAATTTTCAGCTTTCAGCGCTGCCGCACTTTGATTGACAATTGCGCGGTCATGCAACATTGTACCCATATGAAATTTTGATCATTTTTTCCTCAAATAGAGCTTTCTTTTGGTGGTATTTACTCCCCGCTGGGCACTTTACTTTTTGCGCTGTAAATAAAAAAGTGCAAAAAATTTGAAAAAAAAAAGTTTCTTTGTTTCTATTATAAAATTTTTCAAACAGGTATTTTTTCTCCTTCACTGATGTGCGTTGATGAGGCAGCACTGATGGGCACTGATAGGCGGCACTGATGGGCACTGATAGGCAGCACTAAAGGGCACTGATAGGCAGCACTAATGAGGTGTCACGGATAGGCGGCACTAATATGCAGCACTGATAGGCGGCACTGATAGGTGACACTGATGATGGGTACTGATAGACGACACTGACTGGCATCACTGCTGGGCACTGACTGGCGGCACTGACTGGCACAACCCCTGGGCACTGACTGGCGGCACTGACTGGCAGCACTGCTGGGCTGCACTGGTGGGTGGCACTGGTGGGCAGCACTGGTGGGTGGGCACAGGTGGGTGGCACTGGTGGGCACAGGTGGGTGGGCACAGGTGGGTGGCACTGCTGGGCACATGTAGGTGGCACTGCTGGGCACAGGTGGGTGCACTGCTGGGCACAGGTGGGTGCACTGCTGGGCACGGGTGGGCGGAGCTAGTGGGCGCACTGCTGGGCGGAACTTGCGGGTGGCACTGCTGGGCACCGATCATCGGGGCACTGATCATCAGTGCCCTGATGATCGGTGCCGATCCCCGCTCTGACAACTGCCGGTTCTCGGCAGTACTTTCCTCACGATCTGACAGTGTGAGGAAAGTGCAGCCGAGAACCGGCACTTGCATTTCCCTCTGATCAGCGTGTCATTGGACACCGCTGATCAGGTGGTAAAAGGCCGCTGTGATTGGCCTTTTACCACATCACGTGATCAGCTGTGTCCGTAGGACACAGCGACCACGGAGATCGCCGGGTGCGCGCCCCCTGGGGCGCGCAGGAGAGCGCGTTCTGGGAGGACGTCATATGACGTCCACCCAGAACTGGCCGGCCGCGGTGAAGCCGTCATTCGGCTATGCGCGGTCGGCAAGAGGTTAAAGAGAGAACATAATGTAGCCTTTGTCCTGAGAACAAAACCATGTGTATGTAGCCATACTGTTGTCACCTGTGGTTCCCCCTTTGTCCCATGTATGTACATAGACATAGGTAAACCTATGGTGCTTAAAGCTTCTGCTTACTGTGTGAACATTTTGCTATGTTTTAGTTGCTTGTGGCTTTCCAAATATTATATATATATATATATATATATATATATATATATATATATATATATATATATATTCTATATTATACACACAGTGGGGAAAATAATTATTTGATCCCAGGCAGATTTTGTAAGTTTGCCCACTTGGAAAGAAATGAAGGGTGTATAATTTTTATCATAGGTGTATTTAAATGATAGAGAGAGGTCAACCAGAAATCCAGAAAAAACACATGATACAAATGTAATAAATTGAGTTGCAGTTCAGTGAGTAAAATAAGTATTGATCCCCAAGCAAACCATGACTTAGTACTTGGTGGAGCAACCCTTATTGGCAAGCACAGAGGTAAGCCATTTCTTATAGTTGGTTACCAGGTTTGCACACATCTCAGGAGGGATTTTGGTCCACTCTTCTTTACAGATCTTTTCTAAATCCTTAAGGTTTCTTGACTGTTGCTTGACAACTCAAAGTTTCCGCTCCCTCCATAAATTTTTTTGTAGGGTTAAGGTCTGGAGACAAGCTAGGCCACTCGATGACCTTAATGTGCTTCTTGAGTCACTCTTTGTTGCCTTGGCAGTATGTTTTTGGTCGTTACACTGGAAGACCCATCCATGACCCATCTTCATTGTTCTGGCTGAGGGAAGAAGGTTCTCATCCAAGATTTTGCAATACGTGGCCCCATTCATTGGCCCCTCAATGCGGCAAAGTTAGTCTGTACCTTTAGCAGAGAAACAGCCCCAAAGCATAATGTTTCCACCTCCATGCTTGACTGTAGAGTGTTCTTAGGGTCATAGCAGTTTTCTTCCTCCAAACACGGCGAATTGAGTTAATACCAAAGAGCTCAATTTTGGTCTCATCTGACCACATCCCTTTCTCCCAATCTTTCTCTGAATCATTTATATGCTCGTTGGCAAACTTCAGACGGGCCTGTGCATGTGCCTTCTTGAGGAGGAGGATCTTGCAGGTGCTTCAGGGTTCAATCCATGGCGGTGTATTGTAACTGGCGGTTTGTTTGGTGACTGTTGTCCCAACTGCCTTGAGATAATTCACAAGCTTCTCCTTTGTAGTTCTGGGTTGATCCTTCACTTTTCTCATGATCATCCTTACCCCATGAGGCGAAATCTTGCATGGAGCTCCAGACTGAGGACAATTGATGGTTATTTTGTATTTCTTTCATTTGTGAATAATTGCTCCAACAGTTGTCTCCTTCTTACCAAACTTCTTACTAATGGACTTGTAGTGCATTCCAGCTTTGTGCAAGTCTACAGCCTTGTTCCTGACGTCCTTTGACAGCTCTTTGGTCTTGCCTTTGGATGGTGCCCAAGAAAGAGATTCTGTGGACAAGTTTTCGTTCAGAGCATCTTCTTAAATTGGCAGGACTAATCTGTGTACCACATGAGCACGTAGCCAGTCTGCGGGAGACAGAATTGTTGGTTCTGGATTTTGGTTGATATTCTGTCTGTCATTTAAAATACACCTATGATAAAAATTATAGACCTTTCATTTCTTTGTAAGTAGGCAAACTTACAAATTCTGCAGGGGATCTTCTCCATTCTCTGTATTTTCTCAGTTGCCTAAAACATCCATTTGTACTTTTCAGCCTCTGAAAAAATGGCAGTATGACTGCTTACCTTTTTGAAGTTTGTATACAATTTGCTGCATGTAAATTATTTTCAAGTAGAAATCCTATAATTTCCTATGTGGTTGGTTCACATCTATGTACTAGAGTTTTTAGTGTGTTTTGAAAGGGATACTGTACAGGCCATTCACACCTAGGTTTGTGCCCAAATATGCTGCAGTTCCCATAGAACAGTGTAAATCTAGCCTCATTGAATCACTGAAGGGAAATCCTGCTTCCAGTAATACTGCCTGCATCCTCCTGGCTCTGCGCAGTTCCTATGCAGAGCAGGTCTCCTGTCTCTGGAAACAGGAATTATTAGAATAATTAATTGTTGGGGCCATAACCTTTTGTCAAAAGCATTACCTAGGGTACTCCCTCCCCCCCACCCCCCCCCCAAATGATCAATATCACTTTCTCACCTCATTCTCTTTATTGTAGAAGAGGAGGATTCTAATGACAGTGACAAAGAGAGTGATTATGAAGAGCACAGCAGTGAAGACGAACTTGAATTTGCTGGACAAACTTCTCCTAACATCCAAAAGCTTTTAGCAAAAGGTTTGTGTTTGTTTGGTATATTTTAATATGATGAACTCGCCCACAGAAGAGGCAGACTTCCCGCCACCTTCCACATAGTGGAGCTCTGTCCTCTCACAGTTACCTAGCAAAATGTAGCTGAGCACTAATTGGTGTTCATGGAAGCAGCACACATTTTCCAATGCCTTGTGCAGACAGCACAATCATCTTATTGTAATATTATGGTCATTTGTAGAGACCATTCTTCTGCAGTTTTAATACTGTGTTCTGTTATATTCTGTACAAGTTTAGATCCAAACTTTTTATTTGTCTCAACACCGTTTTACTTTTTTTTTTTTTTTTGTGGTCTGCCACCACTGCTTCAAGACTGGGTAGTTGGCAATGCGCATAAACAAATTTAATTGGTGTATCTATAATAAACAAAATTTATATATGTGCATTGTCAACTACCCAGTCTGAAGAAAAGATGACAGACCACAAAATGCATCAAGTAAAGGATGTTAAGACAATAGTTGGGATCTATCTAAACTTGTATAGAAAAGAATGGGATGATATTTCTTTATCTTACATTATGAGACACAGAGCAGACTATTCATGACTATGTGGATTATAGGCCACCTATAGGTCAATGGGAGAGGAGGTCCTCCCCTATATATCCCCTCCTACACAGGAAGTACTTCAGTTCTTTCGCCAGTGTCTGTAAGGTGGATGGTTACTGAAAGTGTTGCTTGTGCTCTTGGAGCATACCTGAAGGTCCAGAACAGTTCCATTAGAGAATCAGGGACTTTAATCCGATCCATTTGGAAAGCTGTGAGCCAAAATGGATGGTACTCGAGCCTTGCTAGATAAGAAGAATCCTTGAGGTTTTGTCTGTAATTCAGCCTTACGGCGCTGGACCCCACGCAGATGGAACCCTGTGCCGTTTTAAATCTGACCAAGGTGCTTTCCAGTGGAGTGCTATACGGGTACGAGGCAGTGGCCCCTAAGCCACCCAGTGACCCCACCCCTTAGTTTCCTTTAGCGGCGGGGAGAATGACCGCTCATTCTTAGAGCTATAGTGAAGGGGGGAAAAAAAGTCGATAATTACATTTAAAAACCAGCAGTGACGACATAATATGGGGTAGCCAGTGAGGGAGCCTGAGTGTATACACTGCTCCCTCACTGTATACACTGCTCCTCTCCTGCCCCCTTCCCCCTAGATAGAGGACCTGTCACTCATGCTATCACATAGGAGACTATTGGTCCCTTATGTGATAGCAAAAAAATCAGAAGGTAAAAAAATAAATAAAAATACACATTAACCTCCCTAGCGGTCTGATTATGTGCATATTTCTGTGCTCAAAGCGGTACATTTTTGCATGGAAATATGTATTTTTTTTTATTGTAGGTCTGTAATTTTTAGGAATAACTCACTGAAATCTGTCCGAACAAGAGTCTAGTAAACATCCTGGGTATGATAATATTTGAAACACGAAATCATAAATTATAATTTATTAAATAATCAAAAAATAATATAATAATAATTTTAATTCAATAATATAATCAAACCAAAAACACTGAAATTTGTAATATAGCGCCAAGTTCGCACATCACTGAGCAAAGTCGCAAAATCATTTTCAGTGTCTGATGACGAATTTCCCCACGAATCATTATCACTCAATTCTGCAAGTGGTTCTAATTTACTATCGCTGTTCTCTAGCTGGTCTAAAACCGCTTTTGACCTAAAGGGACACTTTTTGGACGCCATGGATGTTTCTCAGTTTCCAGGCAGAAAGAACAGTAAAAATGCAGGCAGGGGACAGGACAAAGCACTCGGGACAAAATGTATGTGAAGTGGTTTGATACAGTAATGTTTTATCATGTGATTTTAGTGTATTTACTGAATGTCACTTTTTGTCATTTTCAAATTTCCCGCTGTTCCATCCCTGTACGTCCTGACACTCGCAGGGGACGGAACCAAGAGGACAGATGCCGGCATCCGCCGGATTACATTGCCGGGGACACTGCAGGAGGGACATTGTGGGAGCGCAGGACAAGGTAAGTGACGAACAGATGCCGGAGCAGTGCCGCATGGTAAGCTCGGGGTTACCGCTTTTGGTACTGAAACTTTACCCTGGGCTACACTCGGGAATACCGCCAGGGAGGTTAAAGTTAAAAAGAAATAAAAAAAAAAAATACAAAAAAATATTTTCCACACTTAAGCTCATCTGAATTCTCTGTTGCGATGCATAGAAATACAAAAAAAGTTATAAAATGAACAATGCCATGTATTGTAAAACACAAGGCACCACACTCCAGTGCCTGAGCGGAACAGACTAGTGTGAATGAGCCCTAAGCCATATTAATTTCATATTGTGAATCATTTAGCTACAAATAACTGTGCAGATTTGTGTCCCTATTCCTCACATTCTTTATCATTTTAATTCCTTTTTCAGGTTATATCGAGGAGGGAGGCAATCAGAATAGACTACCGCCCAGTCTAAGACCAAGAAAAGGTAACAGTTTTGCTCTCTGTATTTAAGAGAAGTGTGTTTGTGTGTGTATATAATACACTCACTGGCCACTTTATTAGATACACCTGTACAATTGTTTGATAACACAAATTGCTAATCAGCCAATCACATGGCAGAAACTCAATGCATTTAGGCATCTAGATGTGGTGAAGACGACTTGATATTCAAACCGAGCATCAGAATGGGGTAGAAAGGGGATTTAAGTGACTTTGAATGTGCTATGGTTGTTGGTGCCAGACGGGCTGGTCTGAGTATTTCAAAGACTGCTGATCTACTGGGTTTTTCACACACAACCATCTCTATGGTTTACAGAGAATGGCCCGAAAAAGAGAAAATTATCCAGTGTGAGGCAGTTGTGTGGACGAAAATGCCTTGTTGAGCTCAGAGTAGAATGGGCAGACTGGTTCGAGATGATAGAAAGGCAACAGTAAATCAAATAACCACTTGTTACAACCAAGGTATGCAGAATACCATCTCTGAACACACACTTCGAACCTTGAAGCAGATGAGCTACAGCAGCAGAAGACCACACCAGGTGCCACTCATGTCAGCTAAGAACAGGAACCGGAGACTACAATTCACACAGGCTCATCAAAATTAGACAATAGAAGATTGGAAAAACGTTGCTTGGTCTGATGAGTCTTGATTTCAGCTGTGACATTGAGATGGTAGGGTCAGAATTTTGTGTAAACAACATGAAAGCATGGATCCATCCCCGTTCAGGCTGGTGGTTGTGGTGTAATGGTGTGGGGGATATTTTTCTTGGCACACTTTGGGCCCCTTAGTACCTTAATACCACAGAGTACCTGAGTATTGTTGCTGATCGTGTCCATCCCTTTGTGACTACAGTGTACCCATTCACAAAACTCAAATCGTCTCAAACTGGTTTCTTGAGCAGGACAATGAATCCACTGTACTCCAATGGCCTCCACAGTCGCCAGATCTCAGTCCACCTTTTGGGATGTGGTAAAATGGGAGATTCACAACATAGATGTGCAGCCGACAAATATTGACCAAAATCTCTGAGGAATGTTTCCAACACCTTGTTGAATCTATACCACAAAGAATTAAGGCATTTGTGAAGGCAAAAGGGGGTGCAACCCGGTACTATGTGTGTATGTATGTGTGTGTATATATACAGTGGGGATCGAAAGTTTGGGCACCCCAGCTAAAAATTTGTATTAATGTGCATAAAGAAGCCAAGGAAAGATGGAAAAATCTCCAAAAGGCATCAAATTACAGATTAGACATTCTTATAATATGTCAACAAAAGTTAGATTTTATTTCCATCATTTTACACTTTCAAAATAACAGAAAACAAAAAAATGGCGTCTGCAAAAGTTTGGGCACCCTGCAGAATTTATAGCATGCACCCTTTGCCAAGCTGAGACCTGCCAGTGTCATGGATTGTTCTCAATCATCGTCTGGGAAGACCAGGTGATGTCAATCTCAAAGGTTTTAAATGCCCAGACTCATCTGACCTTGCCCCAACAATCAGCACCATGGGTTCTTCTAAGCAGTTGTCTAGAAAACTGAAACTGAAAATAGTTGACGCTCACAAAGCTGGAGAAGGCTATAAGAAGATAGCAAAGCGTTTTCAGATGTCAATATCCTCTGTTCGGAATGTAATTAAGAAATGGCAGTCATCAGGAACAGTGGAAGTTAAAGCAAGATCTGGAAGACCAAGAAAAATATCAGACAGAACAGCTCGCAGGATTGTGAGAAAAACAATTCAAAACCCACATTTGACTGCACGATCCCTCCAGAAAGATCTGGCAGACACTGGAGTTGTGGTACACTATTCCACTATAAAGAGATACTTGTACAAATATGGTCTTCATGGAAGAGTCATCAGAAGAAAACCTCTTCTAAGTCCTCACCACAAAAATCATCGTTTGAACTTTGCAAATGAACATATAGACAAGCCTGATGCATTTTGGAAACATGTTCTGTGGACCGATGAGGTTAAAATTGAACTTTTTGGCCGGAATGAGCAAAGGTATGTTTAGAGAAGAAGGGGCACAGAATTTAATGAGAAGAACCTCTGTCCAACTGTTAAGCATGGGGTTGGATCAATCATGCTTTGGGGTTGTGTTGCAGCCAGTGGCACAGGGAACATCTCACGAGTAGAAGGAAAAATGGATTCAATAAAATTTCAGCAAATTTTGGATGGTAACTTGATGCCATCTGTGAAAAAGCTGAATTTAAAGAGAGGATGGCTTCTACAAATGGATAATGATCCTAAACACACCTCGAAATCCACGGGGGATTACATCAAGAGGCGTAAACTGAAGGTTTTGCCATGGCCTTCACAATCTCCTGACCTCAACATAATTGAAAATCTATGGATAGACCTTAAAAGAGCAGTGCGTGACAGACAGCCCAGAAATCTCAAAGAACTGGAAGACTTTTGTAAGGAAGAATGGGCAAAGATACCTCAAACAAGAAATGCACACAGATGCACAGTACTGATAGGGTACAAGTACAAAGATCACAGTAGGAGTACAGAATGTACAGAAACTACTTCTGAAGACCCTCAAATATGGTGTACCTGGTTGTGTGCGAAATGCTTATAGGACTGTGTGTTGGGGAAACAGGTCAACCCTTTCACCTGCAAATGAAACTTCATATATTTACAATTAACAACAATAAAACACATGCTCCGGTAGCAACCAACTTCTGCAGCATAGACCATAGCATAAATGATCCCAAAATTATGCTACTAATGGGGCATCCCAAGCCACGGAAAGGGATACCTGAATTAGACTGTAAATTGATACACATATACAAAACTCTTGACAGTGGTCTAAATAGGCACAAAACTTTTATGTGCCACTATGGTCCTAATTTATTTTCTGTCCTCTGGCAACAAAAGCCTGTTTTCCTAAAGCCTTTTAGCAAAAGGATGGACAGTTCAAAAGGACTCAATGTGCTGACTTCTTTTGACTATGAGCTATAGTTATATTTCAATATTCTATCAACATTTCAAAAGGATTGTCATTTGAGGTGAGGATTGTGTTTGGAATTCCTAGCTCTTAGTTTAAAGTCACTTACCTTGGTAAGGCTGGCTATACGCGGCTAGATTTTTTTTTTTTTTTTAGCCTGTGACTTGAACAATCAAAATCCTCTATCCATGGATGGAAGAATCTCCCTGCTGGGTTATTGTATTCTGACAGCCGCTGCAGGTGATTGGATGCAGCTGCTATTCGAACAAAGTTTTTTTTCAGCAGGCTCCGTTAACAAAGTCCATCAAATGAGTGAATTTTTGACCTTGTCATTAGAAACCACCTCAATTTCGCTTAGTATATTGTCATGTTTTTTACACTTCTAAACTCCGATCACATATCTCTTACAATAGCCTTTATCATTAAAATGTGTTAAGAAAAAATAGTTGTTCTTTTAAATGGTGTATATTTTATTACCTCTTCTTGTAACGCTGTGTATAACTATGTGAGTTTCAGAAACTTTTTTCAGAAATGTATAAAGCATGACTAAGGGATGTAAGTTATTGCAAAAGCTTGCATCTTTAATAACTCAAGTTTGCGAATAAAGAGTACCGGTTAAACTCCTCCAAACTTTCTACATTAAAGTGGTTTTAAATCCAAAAGCAAAAATGTATAATTTGCAGCTTACCATTTTTTAGATGTGATGGTTATAATCATTTTCATTTTTTAGGCTTTCTTTCTTCTATTTTGATCTTGTGAACCAGTCAGTAAGTCTATTGTTTTTCAAATAAATAAGCTCTCCAGCAGAACATATCCGTTACAGAGATGAGACAAACCATTTAACACTAGCAGGGGTGCTTACAATGACCGCTTTTATTTATGTAAAACTTATCCCAAAAAGAAAAAAAAAAACTTTTCTGTAACTGCTTATAAAGAATTACCTGGAGTTTGGCTTCAATTTGTTGATGTATTTAAATCTGCTAGTACACCTAACACACTCCTCCTCCCAGCCTGACAATGCTGTTGTCACCAAAGATGCCCCCTGTGCTTATTCATTCTGAGTGGGGCCACTCTAATACAGGAAGTGTATTACTGGCCAGATCACCAGGCGAAAACAGAGGGAGAAAAAAAAAAGAAAAATCTTGCACCCTACAAATCATTAGATGTGGTGGCTGCATTAATTACAATTTTTTTGGTTTTGGGTTTAATACAGCTTTAATCAATGGTACTGTTCTCTACTAGAGACACACATATATATCAACTGTGTATTTATTTGTTTTGTTTGAAGCTCTGATGTAATGATTGTTAAAAAGCTAAAAGGATTTACTGTTTTTCTAGTGGATTTTCCAAAATAACAAGTTAAAGGCTAAAAATTCAGAAATGTGACCACTTTACAAGTTCAACAGTCTATTCATAAACTGAAAAATTAGATATTTCAGCAAACCATGATCAGCATCTGTGATCTTCTGTTTTTTTTGTTTTTGTCATTATAGATGTTAAAAGTCATCCAGTGAATATCAAGACCAACAGAAACTACGATTATTTTGGTATTTTATGGTTCTTTTTATTTATTTTTTTTAATTCCAAGGAGTTGTCTCCTTGTAAATACACATCATGCATCCTCATTTTTTTGCCTGCCTTATTATTACCCTGTCTTTCATTCCACAGGAGAGAAAAAAGAGTCTATATTCAGACAACAATCACAAAAAACAGGTACAAATGGTTTCTACTTCTTGTTTTAGTCCAGGGCTTATTTTCCTCAAACTTTCACTTTTTTTTTTTTTTTTTTAATTTCCTGTATTTATATGTTGATAAAATATTTTGTATTCATATATGTATATGATTTAGCTGCTTCTCACTGTACATGTATGGATATAGGGCAGCCCGGCTGCTGTGGATCACATACATGTACATGATCCAGCATTTGTGGGTAGGGAGCACACACACCCGCCTCCCTGACTGTGGTGCCATTTGCTACAGAACAAGCCGATCAATGGGTCCCGGCCAATGATTTATGACTGGGACCTGCAGATCCGCTCAGCGAATGACAAGAGAGCCCTGTGTTGGTAAACGACACAGGACTCTCTACGAGTGCAGCCATGTGGCTTTTTTTTTTTCCTCTTTCCTCCCTGTAAAACAGGGAGTAAAAAACAGTCATGTCCATTGGTAAATACACCACATAGTACACACTTTTTGAGTTAACTCTTGTTAGGCACACGATTAACCCTTTAGATTGCCCCTAGATGTTTACCCCTTCCCAGCCAGTGTCAGTACAGTGACGGTGTAAATTGTTAGCATTGATCACTTTAGTGTCACTGGTGATGTCCATGTCAGTTCCCACAAAGTTTCAGATTGCCCACCGCACTATCACAGTCCCTCACCATGGTGAGTACAGAAGTCAATACAACTTCTGTAATTGAAACAAAAGACAATATCCAACTAGACATCAATGGCACAACAAATCAGTACAACATAGGCTGAATTCCAAGAATAATAATGTAATTTTTAAATTTGATCCTAGTTCTACTTTTAAATGCTTTTTTCTGTTTTGTTTTGTTATTTGTTTTTTGTTTTTTTGCATGTGATTGCATATTTTACCATTTTAATGTGTGATCTGTGATGGTGGTTCTGTTTTATTGAAATGTGCCTGTTACTCCTCAGCAAGGTTCACTGGGTGGGCTTGTACATGGGGCTATTAAGTATTTCATTAAAAACGACATTTCCCACAATCCGTAGTTGCTCGCAGATTTGTGATAAAAGTAATATGGGTGCTGCCGTTTCTCCAGCTCTTACTTGCTGCATGCCTGTTTCAGGTCAGTGCCTCTGTAAATACTGAAGCATGCACATAGCATGTACTGAGGGCAGCAGTGGCAACTCACATTCATCTGTTATAGGTTTCATGTAACGTAAAGATAGATTTCAGATAACTACAGGTAAAACAGCTGGCACTTTTTGAATCCAGGTTTAAGAAATATATTGAAGTCAATTGGTTGCTATGGCCAGAGGGTAGGTTTATTTTTAGCACAGGTTTTATACATTTGGCCTTTAAAGTGAACCTGTCATGCTTTCTGAATATCTTAAACCAAATCTACTGTCTTAGAGGAGACACCACCAGATACCTATTACCTCCCTTGTGCAGAAGAGCCTCTTCCCTTTTACTTCCTGCGATTACAGGTAATTTGTTAGTGAAGATTTCAACTTTAGGTTAACTCTGCTCTAGGCAGGATGCTGGCAGGTCTGAGAAGTAATGTGAGTAATTTTATTGGCCGCAAGACATTAGATGTGGGTTGGTCTGGGTTGTAGTATCTGGAGTCAGGCCTTTGGTCCAAAGTAAAAAAATAATTAAGTTCTCTTTAACAGACTGAAAGCAATGTCAGATGCAATAATGAAGAGACTTTTTTATTTAGAGACCTAATAATGGACAATTTGTGTCTCCTGCTTTCAGGCATTGCTTTCAGTGAAGTAATCAGAATGGATGTATTGTAATTTCTTTCGATGTGTGTGTGACAGCTGATTATTTCTGTCTACCTCTTTCCAGCCATACAAAGAGAGCTACTACAGGATACCAAGAAATTTGAAGCCTATTCTGATGGTATGTTTTTTTTGTGCGTGTTTAAGAGAAAAGTATGAGTAATGTCTAAGAGGATCCCCTTACCATGCAGTACCATCCTACAGCTAAATGATATTTTCAGTTAAGAGATATTTGGCATCACATATCAAAGTTTTATACTGACATCCCTGTGTTATAGCATATACAGATTCAAGCCTTTCATTGGAACCATTGTCTGAAGGTTCAGTTTGATTTCAAGACCCTGCATTACAAAAAATTGGAGACATTTTTGTGCAAGAGAAGGGCAGAACCCTTTTTCCTGTCTGTTCTGTGCTCCTGCTCCATTATGTTTAAGGGGAAGACATTTGAACAACCCAACCAGGGATCCTGACTTCAGATCAAACAATAATATACATGCCAGTCGTCTTTTGTGATATACCTTTTGATCTGCTCAAGCAAGATGATCTATATGGGGTAAAATACCCAAAAGACAAAAGATTGGATAATAAATTCATTTAAAAAAAATCTACTATTGTAGGTATACAAATATTTTTATGATTTAGAAGATTCTGAAGTGAACCTCCACTCTATGGACTTGGATGATGCACCTAGACCAAGATGGGGAGGTAATCTCATTTTACTTCTGAAAAAATGGGAAGTGTAGTAGATTCACAAATTGATTCACTCCAAGAACTTGATAGGGATGATTAGTTTTAAAACTGCTCCTTTAAAACTGCTCCTTTAAAAAACTGCTCCTTTAAAACTGAATTTAAGGTCTTCGTTTTAGGTGGCAGGATAACAGGAATAAGATGGCAGCTGTGATATTTCTAAGTTTTGAATCTCTGCAGTAAAAAAACCTGTGTTTACAAAGTATCTATTAACCCCTCCCTGCCAGCCCTGGCATCTCTTTATTAGAGTCTGCACGTCCAGGGGCGTGAAGGATCATCAATCATGTGACTACTGTGAATGGCTCTCACAGTGGTCACATGATTGGTAGCCAGTTCTGCTGGATCAGATCGTTCGTACGGACCAAGAGCTATCTTTTGGCAGCTCTTTCTGTAAGGTGTTAGTGCACTTTCAGCATAGAAACCTTGGCCATCCATCGAAGCATATGTGCGGTGTGTGAGCGTTATAGCCCACCCTTTTAGCCACCACACACATTCATTATATAGGCGGAAAGAGGTTTTAATGGATGCAGATAATGATAGTTGTTTTGTGTTGTTTATGGTGTATTTTGGGTGGAATGTTACCCCTGCTTTCTGATACAATTAACCACCTCCCATCCGGCCATTGTATATAAATGGCTGGACGGTGGTAGTGCAGGGGTGGGTAGCCGTTTATAAATGGCCTCCCCGCCCCCTGCTTGTGTGTGCTCCCTGGGAGCATGCAGCACCGTGATCCGGTGCCCGCTGTGTCCTCCGAACACAGTGGAACACCTATCGTCATATGGGACCTCTGTGCGAGGTCCCGATCATGTGATCACTGATTAATCAGTGATCACATGCAGAGTAGTAAGCAAGATGTCACTTCTGACATCATTGCTTACTACGTGTGAAATCTGTGAATGATCACAGAGGTCACATGGTACAAGGCTATTTACAACAGCCTTGTACCATGTGACAAGCTGTGACCAATCACAGCTCACTCAATACTTCTCAATGACTGCAAGAATGCAGACAGAGAGAAAGAGAAATGATTGCTTTTACATCCTATATGGGTGTAAAAGCAATCAGTGTAAAAAAAAAAAAAAAATCTTCATCACCCCCCACAAGTAGTACAGTGTCACCATGGTGACACTGTACTGCTAGGGTGATAGTATGTAAAAAAATAAAAATAAAAAATAATATAAAAAAAGTAAAAGCAATCGGTGTACAAAAAAAAAAAAATCTTCATCACCCCCCCACAAGTAGTACAGTGTCACACACTACTGCTAGGGTGACAGTATGCAAAAAAAAAATATACCGTATTTGCCGGCGTATAAGACGACTGGGCGTATAAGACGACCCCCCTACTTTTCCTGCTAAAATGTAGTGTTTGGGCTATACTCGCCGTATAAGACTACCCCTCTTCCAATGCACACCAGTGGGAGGAATAGTGTCCCATCATTGATGTCAGTGGGAGGAATAGTGCCCCATCATTGGTGTCAGTGGGAGGAATAGTGCCCCATCATTGGTATCAGTGGGGGGAATAGGTGCCCCATCATTGGTATCAGTGGCAGGAATAGTGCCCCATCATTGGTATCAGTGGGGGGAATAGGTGCCCCATCATTGGTGTCAGTGGGAGGAATGGTGTCCCATCATTGGTGTCAGTGAGGGGTGGAATAGTGCCCCATCATTGGTGTCAGTGGGGGGTGGAATAGTGCCCCATCGTTGGTGTCAGTGGGGGGGGGAATAGTGCCCCATCGTTGGTGTCAGTGGGAGGAATAGTGCCCCATCGTTGGTATCAGTGGGAGGAATAGTGCCCCATCATTGGTATCAGTGACACCAATGATGGGGCACTATTCCTCCCACTGAGACTTGCTGACCCTGTTCTCGTATGGTGCTGCTGCAGCCAGCATATGTGGTTGCAGCAGCACCTCTACACAGAACACTTACCTGCTGCTCCGGCACTCAATTTTCGCGGGGGCCGCTCGGCTCCGCCCCCTCGCCGGTGATTGGCCGCCTGTGTGCCTTTCCTGAGCTACAGTTCTGGCGGCCAATCACCGGTGAGGAGGCGGAGCCTAGCAGCAGCACGAACATCCAGTGGCCGAACTGAAGGAGACGCCGCGCTACCTGGACCGGATCGTCGTGGGACTGGATCCAGGTAAGAGACATCAGCCCCTGCAAACCCCTGTACTTAATGCCGCAGCCCCCCTAACATGTGTACCGGCGTATAAGACGACCCCCGACTTTTGAGAAGATTTTCAAGGGTCAAAAAGTCGTCTTATACGCCGGCAAATACGGTATATGTAAAAAAATAAAATAAAAATGTAAAAAATTATAATTTTTGGTTATAAAGTAATTTTGGGTTATTTTTTTTTTACTAAAAAGATAACTGAATAAATTTTGGCCACGATTTATGATGAAATATTATTTATTTGCAAAATTTTATAAGAAAAACACTTTTTTTCAAAAAATTTTGGACGTTTTCATTTATATAGCAAAAAAAAATAAAAATCCTTTATCTGTCTCAAAAAAAAATGCTAAAAAAATTCATATGGGTACAGTCTTGCATGACCGCGCAATTGTCATTCAAAATGTGTTAGCCCTGAAAGCTGAAAATTGGCCTGGACAGGAAGGGGGTATAAGTGTCTATACTATACTTGAAGTGGTTAATTCATGAATAATCTTGGAGTAAATAGTGAGGGGAGATCAGATTGCTACGGTTATGTGGTTTCACTGTTATATGAACCCTTAATTTGTAAATTCAGTTTAAAATAGAAATGAAAGGCAAAACATTTGTGTATAGATAAAAGAAACAAACTTTTTTTTTTTTCTTTAAATTCTCTTTTTGTAGAAATGATCACTTGACTTCTGTTCCCTCTGCATAAGGGCCTTAGAGAGCTTGAGGTGGAGACTGCAGAGCGGGCATGTTGGCAAGAGACAGAATGTGTGGAGACTCCATTTGATATTTGTATGTTAGATCGGAGCCTGATGGTCCCCTGCACCCAATCTATAGGACATGTACCTCACCTCCTTTGCATGTGTAAACAAAACACTATATAGAATAGCAAAAAGACAAAAAGTATAATTTGAATACACATACTAAGAGGTGAGAGGCATGGCAATGAGTGTGAAAGAGTCAAAATGTTGTGCATGGTGTTTAAGGAGCTGTTTCCAAATTGCATTTTATCATTCTGTTAGGTATTGTAGAATTTAGCGAGAGGGAATTTGGGGGGAGGGGCAAGGGAGAGGGGGGCAGTTGCTTTATAGTAACATGTTACATTTTTCAAAAACCAAAATAGTGAAGCGCTAAAATAAATCCCTATGTGCACACACAATGAATATAATATCCAAAAAAATATATAAGTTCCGTATACTCCAATGAACATATATAACCATCTGTGGGATATCTATACATACAAGAAGATATACCAAACGAAAAAATACCTCATAAAGATAAATAAATCCGTGATAGAAAATAAATAAATAATAAATAAATAAAATATAAAAACTCCTATGCCCTTAATTATTCTTCAAATCAATCCGTGATACGAAATAAAAATCCATATTAATACAAATAAAACAGTGATGCAAAATCGAAATCTGTGATTATAATATTCAAAAAAATAAGATAATGCTATCTATAATACATGTGACAACCTATAAAATAGAAATTCATAAACTGTGATTCTCAATCAAATTAACGTGATTAATAATTAATTGTGACAAACCATACATCGAACTATTAAATATTTAATCCACTATATCTTGTGATAATTAAATATAAAAATGTGTCCATAAATGAACAAAAAAAAGTCCATGCAATAAGGTGAAAACAACACTCAGTGATCTTCACTTCTAGTGCTCAGAAAAAGGAATCCTCCAATGGCAGCAATGCCTGCTCACCTCCCCACCTCGACCCACAGAGGGCCACAAGGCTATAGCTCTCCTCCAGGCAATCTTTTGCTTCCAGGCAGCTCAGCAAGGAATCACAGGACTTCCACTCCACCTCCTCTCAAACGTCATATAGGACACAAACAGAGCTTCCCATAGTGTAATACCGTTTATTTAAGACACTCCTTATAACATACTGTTTCCACTCACATGTGTTTACTCATTGAAAAGCGCAATCCTCCTCATTCCATGGGTGCATTCACATGTAAATAGGGAAACAAATATGGCCGCTGTGCTCGGACATACGTCCCCAAGGGTACCCTGATGAAGTCACAACGCACGTGACGCAAAGCGTTGGAACGCTATTCCCAGCCCAGAGACACATCACTTTCGGTCACGTGGGGACGTATGTCCGAGCACAGCGGCCATATTTGTTTCCCTATTTACATGTGAATGCACCCATGGAATGAGGAGGATTGCGCTTTTCAGTTAGGATAGGGACTCATCCATATTAAGCGCAGGAGGATATTCCCATTTTTTACATGTTACATTTTTCACCATACATACCGGTGTAACATGTTACAAAAGGTGAACTTATCCTTTAACTATAGCATTGACAACATTTTGGTATATATTTTCAATATTTGTAAGAGTGCAAGAAATCTCAACAATTCAGAGCTGTCCTGTGATACTTGTGTGATCTTATGGAGCCTGATAAACCCTCCCAGTTTCTATCATAGACTGTTAAACATGGGAAAATGTGACATGTTTTGCAATGATGTACTACATATGAGCATGTATGTTTTCATTTTTCCGTGACACAATTTCTTTTTCTTGTCTTAATGATATTTTTTTTTTTACCTCACAGTTGAAGAAGACCAACGTAAACCCCAAGCAGTCAGAGGTACGTCTCATTGATAGTTTAATAAGCTCTAATATAATGGCTCAGTCATCAATTTGAATTTAACAGTTAAAAAATAAGCAGTTTGCATTTTTAGGCATTTCGATTACATGACCATTTTCATTCCTTCTTCCAGCTGCCACAGCTTGATAGTTAATTGTGGTGGTGAAAACCATGTGGCTAAATTAGAGGTTGTCTTTTTTTCCATTCCATTTAACAGCTCATGAGATGAAAGGGGAAGGGATTGCTCATTGATCGGAGATGTCTTGTTAAGGCTATTAATGTACATTTGCTAAAGTGGACTTGACCTTGCCTTGCTCCTGCAGAAACCTGTACTTTCTTCCAATATTTTTTTTTGTATGAGGTAACTGAAGAGGAGTGTTCCCTATCAATAATTTTTCTTTTCAGAGCCTGAGGAGGATCTTGCATCCTGCTGTAGCTACATACAAAGATTCTGACATTTTACAGTTGAATATTGGCAGTACAACCTAGTGACCAGTGGTCAAAATCTTAAAATGACATATGTGTTAGTTTGCCACTAGCATTAACCCAGCAGTCTTAGTTTATTTGAGTCCTCCCATTCCCTATACAATAGGTTATGACCTGGTTATCCAGCCAGTAAGTCTGTTGTCTTTCAACTTTATTTAAAGTGACACAATGGCCAAAATTGAAAATTTCATGTATGAAAAGTAAGACTTTTCTGAGTCCTCCCATTTATTACCCGATGATCCAGCCAGTAATTGTGTATTTTTTTGGGTTTTTTTCAACTTCCTTTACCGGACAAAGCTGTCCAACAAAAATGGTTTGCCTCAATCCTCTAACTGCCACTTAACACTGACTGGGGTACTTACAATGATCAACTTTTATTTATGTAAAACCTTTATTCCAAAAGGAAAAAATAACATTGCAGAAACTGCTTAATAAGTTTTAGCAGGATTTGGGCTTGAAATTGTCAAACATCATATTTAAAGTCCATCTAAATCTAGTCCATCTAACACCACCCTCTCCACTGATTGACAGTGTTGCTGTCCAAAGGTAGCTACATTACTCCTCCATAGGTACAGTGGAGGACTGAATGATTCCACCCACCATGCCTAAGCTCCCTTCCTTCATTACTCTCTGTGCCTGTACCCTCCTTCCCTCACCAGTCACTGTGTCTGTGCACCCTCTTCCCTCAACATCCTGATTGCCTGCCTGCTTCCCCTTGCTCACACTGTACCTCCATGTCTTCCTGTGTGCTTTCACTCACCCTTACAGGAAGTGCCTCTCAACCTTACCCTCCTCCACGTGCTCTCACTACTGTGCCTGCTTCCCCCCTACCATATTGATGCTCTCACCACTGCAAACTGGCATGTTCTAGAACAGTGTGTGTAAAAAGCAAAAAGGTAAAAAATGGATACCTTTTAAATACACATACATTTTGGCTATCAGTAATCAAACATTTCAAAATGGACTATAGAGTTGTATGGTCTGTCCAGAGTAAGAGTTTCAGACATATGTTGTACTGTGATTAAGAGAGGCATAGTAATAAATATGAGGAAGGGGGGAGGTTAACAAACTGCTTTATCATTCTGTTAGGCATTATGGAATTTAGTGATTTGTTATTGTGGGAGAGAGGGAGAACAAGTGCTTCAGTGGGTGTTTAGTAAGAGAAGAAGAAATGTTGCTGGGGGTATGATAAAAAAAATTGGGATATTTAGCAGCTCAACTGCATACAGTTAGATGTTCATGGCAGCTTAAGGTGAGGAGATCTTCTGTCAGTGGGTAAACTGCAGCCAGTAAAACCATGTTTTTATCTTGTTGTCTCAGGGAAGGTGGAGGTCTCCCATTTTCTGAGTCTCTTGCATTTTTGTGCAATACAAGTCTAAGGTGGTGTGGTTTGTTTCCACTTCATAGTTAAGCTGCCCATACATTAGTCCGTTCTGTTTCATTCAACCAGCAGGTTGAACAAAAAAAACTGACCGGTCTCTCCCATGCATATATTCGATGTGGGTGGGGGAATCCATCTCGCTGTGCCTTTGTATTGAGAGAGTGGGGAGACTTCCTGCCATCAGAATACACAGATCAGCTCTGAAGGCTGTAGAATGCTGCTCCAATCAAGTGGCTAAAATCTGATAGGGTGGTTGAATAGAAGTTGATCAGTAGAATAACTTCCGTTCAACCACAATGGCTATACGTGGAACGAAATTCAACTATTCCCTGCTGAACCAGCTGAATATCATTCCATGTATGGCCAGCATTATGCATGTTCTTTCCCCTTGGTGTTTTTTAAATCACAGTCTGTACTCCTTCCTAAAAAGTGTGGTTTATTTAACATTCTGAGAATATGTGAAGGATGGTGCCTGTGGTTTGACTGCATCTCCAATATAGTGGAGAAAACATTTAATGAAGATTGATTCTATACCATCTAGTTAGGATTTTGAAGCCCTCTTTTTGTATTCCAATCAAGATGGATGTTCTGGTAAAGGGTGTAGTTTCTTTGTTGCCTGTCAGTCGATTACCAGACCATTTCTTTAGGTAGGGGGAAGACAGTTCCCTGACAGTTGGTTAAGAAGGCAGTAGGATATGTGTGTCTTTCAGAGTTGGTATTTATGCACATGTCTTCAAGATACATCAGTGTGAGTAGCCATTCTTGAGGTTAGGGGATGGGAAAGTGAGGTATCTGCATTGTTCTCCACATAGTGGGGCACATTATTGCAAAAAGCTCCTGTGGACCCCAAATTACTTGTTCAATGATTTTTCTATTGTATTAATGGCAATGAGTACAAAGCCATAATGATAATACAGTGTACACATATGTGATGTCACAAGCCAACATAGAAGGGTTTCCGTCCTGTTGTTATTTTGAGATGTTCTTAACAGACTAATTGGAAAACGTTATACAGTCCAGAGGACCTCTTGTATTCTTAACATAAAATTGTAGGAAACGGATGATAAAAGATGAGAGGGCGACTGGGAGAGAGGTAGAAAAGATAGGGGTTAAGGATGTAGGGAGGGAGAGAGAAGCACCACAGAAGCCATGGAGGAGCTGTCACGATGGCAAATGAGAGAACAAGTCTCAAAAATTAAAGAGATGGCAATTGAAATCGGATGGCAAAAAAGCACGAAAACCACAGTTCCCACGATTTGTGAAAGCTATGCATTTTGGCAGTCAGTTTATTAGTAAACATCCGGTGCACTTGGTTTTTTACTGCCGCTAAAGAAAGGGAATCCGACAGACAGACTCTAGCTATGTTTTGCTTGGTTGCCTGTGAAAATGTAAATTGTTAGCCTTAATTGAAATTTGGAAAACCTGCCTAGTTTCAAATTAAGTAGCGCCTGTCGACGGAGAATCCGAGATGTCAAGGATGAATAGCATTTTCAACATATCATAGGCTTAGATCCATAAAGCATAAACAATTAGACAAGTCCACCATATGTGCATATAAATACCTTGCTCTGAACAACCACAGGAGTGGACCCTGTGTACAACTCAGGTTGGAACTATGTACCAGTGCTATAATAATTTATAGTTAGTTTTGAGTGCTGGAACATGACTTGGTGATGTTCCAGATTTGCTGGCATTGTTTTGGTTCCAGGGTAATATTAAGGTCTGATTCCCATTTGTACATGCAAGTATGATCAGGCGACAATGAACCAGTAAAAATGAGAGCGTATCAGGGTTACCTCTTTGATGGACCCCAACATTCCTAAGGGGTTTGGCAAGCAACGTATTTCCTGACTTTTTTTTTTTTTTTTTACCATGACAGTGGCAGTTTTAAAATTTTCCATCCTTTTGGTCTATTTGGAAATGTTACGTGTATTACAGAGATGTACTGCGTGTGTGTTTGTTTTTTCTTTTTTAATTTGTATTTTTGCCATGACAAAAACATAAACTCAAATAACAACACAACTCCTACTCATAATTTTTTGATCTCACAGGTGCAGATAACCAATCCAAACCTCAACCAGTAAGAGGTACGTCTCACTTGTAACTTAATAAGATCTAATATAATTGCTTGGTCTTGAAATTTAACAGTTAAGAATTAAGCAGTAGGTCTACTTCACTCTTTTATTTGATGTTTTGCAATTTTAGGCTTTGGGTCCTTTCACATGCGTAGACCGATTGGGTTCGCCTGTCCGTTTTTCAGGCAGGCCCAGTCAGACCATCCATTGTTCTCTATGGTTCTCTATGAGTAGGCAGATGTAAATGGACGTGTCCATTTACACCTGCCTGCATTGCCGATTGTATAAGATGACAGTCGGATGTAAACAAACAGGTGGGCGTTTACACCGCCCTCCCCATAGAGAACAGCGGGCTGTGTCCGTGTCCACTCTGCACAAGCAGACATGGACCTGTCATCCACCTGCTCAGAGGGAATCGGCAGACAGATCCCCTGCTCAGCAGACAGATCCTCTTGCCCGGAGTCTGCCCGTGTGATAGGGGCCTTACACAAAACAAGACCTATTCAATTCTTTTTCCCAACTGCCACAAACAGATAATTGTGGACATGCACACCACGTGGGGAAAATAGGGTTTGTTTGTTTTTTGCCTTTCAATAAAACACAGCCCATGTGATGAAAATGAAAAGATTGATCTTTGAGATCTTCAGCATGAAAAAATGTGAGAGTAACTAGTAAAGAATAGTAATGTATGTCTTTTTAAATTGAACCTTACCTATCTATGAGACTTTATAAACTAACGTTGCTTTTGAAACTTGTGCCTGCAGATACCTGTACTTTCTTCCAACCATTTTTTTGTATGGGGTAACTGGGTTGGGGTTCTTTTTCTATTCATTTTTTTTGTGAATCTGAGGAGGATCCTGCTGTAGATACATACAATGATTCTGCCACCTGACAGTTGAATGATTGTAGTGCAGCTTTATAGTGGGAAGGTCGGAGTCTAGAGCTAGCCATACCTTTTTTTTTTTTTTCTTTTTTTTTTTTTCAGCCAGTGGGCTGAAAGCAGAAAATTACCAGGTTCCTCGGTCTACACAAACAAGGTGAATGGGGGAATCTACCTATAATTGTGTGGGTTTCTTGTGCATAAGGTAGATTCAGCAAGGTGGTTTTCACCTAATAAAGCAATTTGCAATTAACTCTGACTATCTCTTGACGTTGGTGATATCTTTCTCATCACAGTACCAATGAAACTGTCTTTTATTGTGAGTCCTTGTTCAAATACAATTGTTTTTCACCTCCAGGTAACTTCTGGATCCCATTTTTGGCTTTGCTTGTTATTTCTCTGGGAGTTTGGATGCTAGTCCTGAACAAGCCCTCCACAACAAATTCAGAAAAGGAACTGCAAGTCATGAAAGCTTTCCAGGATGGGTTTCGAAAGCTCCCAATTATTTTTTCTGGTCAGTCACCAGACCTTTGGCACAGAAGCCAAAGAATGCTAGAATTGCAACTCCGTCATAAGAATGAAAACAAGGAACCTGCCATCATTTTATTAACCGCTGCCCAGGATGCAGAACAGATGTTATATTGTGTAGGCAACCATCTAGCAAAAACCTACGCCTCTACCCTTAACAGCAGCTACACAGTCCTCTCTGGACTGGATATGTCCTCTGAAGACAGTGACGGTGTTAAGATGGATATTGATCAAAGGCTAAGTGCAGGATTCCAGGCTAACAACAAAGCGGCAGTACTGCATCGTTTAGAATTACTGCCTCCTGGGTCATTGATCATTCTCTACAAATATTGTGACCACGAGAATGCGGCTTTTAAGAATGTTGCACTGGTGATAACGGTGCTTTTGAAGAACTCTACTTTGCAACCAGACATTGAGCTTAATGCACTGGAGGAGAAAGTCTATGACTTCTTAAAAGAAACCTTCCTTAATCAAGCCAAGTCCAGGACATCCCATAATGAGATGGATGGGGACAAGCTGGGCGGAGTGTGGAGTCGCATCTCACATATTGTGTTGCCTGTGTTCCCTGGAAAACAGATTGTGAAAGACTGTGGTGAATCAAATGTCACTCCATGAACACAGCAGGTTTTTTTTTTTTTTTAAGCAAAACCGGAAATTGGATTACTGCGCATTACAAGGGTCAATGTTATATGTGCACTCCTACAGGCCTCTATGTTCAGAAGTGTTTGAAGGAAATCTACTTCTCCATAAAAATGTAATTTATTCATTCCTTCTCCAGTACCACACTAGAAGTCTAAAATAGAGCATTTGATTGTTACAGATAAAGAAGACAGTTAATTGGTCATACATACTTTTAGCCGTAGTCCATTGTGTTCAGATACCATTGATGATAACTTGGGACACCAAGACTGAAGTAAAATATGACTTTCTCAGTCTTTTACCTCACTTCTTGTTCTCATCAAAATTGATCGTCCTCATCTGTGGCTAAAACAAAATAAACGTGTCCTGGGTGATAGTTGTGGTTAAGAAGATGGTCCACCAGTTCTAATGAGAAAGAAAACTTTGTGTGTATCCACAACCAGCCAGTGACTTAATTTGAAGTTCATTCATTGGCTGCAACGTCCGCTCCAAATACCTCAAAGAAAAACGTGAGTTTTGAACAGGAAAGTGGCATTGTCTATGGAAAATGAAGACTTCTGCCACAGAGATTAATTAAGCATACATATAAAAAAAAATCTACACTTGTGACTGGAAGGATAATTCTGTAAAATTCTAAGTTGGTAAATATTTTTTAATTCATTATTGAGCTTCTGCAATGAGAGAAATCTGATGTTGCTTCAGTCACAGTCCCTGAATTAGCATCCAGCCAACAAAATTTGAAATTCTTGTCTAAATCTTGTTCCTTGTCAGTAGCCCATAAGTAACGAGGCTAGTGGATCAGTATGGCAGCTAGACTTTTTGGAAGGAGACTCTGTTATGACATCCCATGCGTTTCTCTCAATACAAGGTGAACTGGTAAAAACATAATGTCATAATAAATTGGCCACAGGTATAAACTGTTAAGCATGTTTGTACCTAAAACAGCTAAAAACCCCTTTTAAATTTAGAACACAGTGTAGTTGGTGTGAAAGTGTTGTGCCCATGTTACTTTCTATTACACACTTTTAGCAACCATTGAATAATGCAGCTGCATGCTGCAGAAGGTAATTTGAAAGCACTTATTAATGGTCAGCTTTTGGTGCACTGGCTCCCTGTTTTTTGCAGAATCCCAAAAAAAGCCAAACTCAGCTGCGCAGTGTCACTACCCTACGCATCTATGTACAGTCTTTTCTTTTTGATAGTAACCTATTTTCTTATGCTGTCCCTATGTGGACCTGTGTGAATAAATTTTGTCAACGTGAAGCCATGCCTTAGCTTAGCAATGTAACTTGACATGAATCTGGTTAAAAAAAAATAATTTTACCAATTTTCTCTTGGTAAGCTTGATCTATGAATGGAGGACAGGTGGATATGAGAGAGGTTTACTTCCTCCATTCACAGATTTCATTTCATAGGAGCTGTAGTAACAGTTTCTATAAATAGAGGAGGTGGGCTGAAATGGTTGGTATAGTCAAGCACACTTGATAAGAGCCTGTGACAGCTCCTTAGTTCTAGTAACCCTTGCTGCACAGAAAAGTGACGGCAGCGATGGGGGGTGAACATTGAAGGATGGAAAATTTCTACTGAACTAGAAGACAGAAACCCAAGGGACACATGACACCGACAATGGTAAATTATGTTCCTTGTGCTTATTTTTTTGTAAGTAAACTTAGGATTTAAAGGATACATGTAACAAAACAAATCCTGTGTGTGAATGCCTGAGATGGAAGCATACTTGTTCCAGGGCAGTGACCTCACTTGATATACAGCTGTATAACTTCATTTTCAATGCCCTAAAACTCAAGTGACACAGAAGCCAGATAATGGCTGCTTTCCTATTTCTTACGCTGAGTTATTCATACTTCTTGAAGGAAGAATTGTATCTTACAACTAGCAGCAACCATTTAAACTGAAAATGCTAATAGAATTGAAAGTTGGAAGATGAAAGCTTAAAAAAAACACGTTTAAAAGAATTTATTATTTATGGATCTGAACGCAGCTGCCTTGTTTTTGATGTAGACATTCACTATGGTGCATAAACATGTACTGCATTCAGATCCATAACACAAAATTCAGACATCTACATCTTAGGACATAAGTATACACATATGCCAGATGCAGGTATTGGGGTGGAAAAAAAGGACGAAAGAAATGCTAGTATTTACTGATTATTACACAGGAACTTTGTGATAAAACAAATTGTAACAAGATCAGTAACGTGTTTACACCCATGTGAATATAGCCTAAATCTAGTGACTTACTTCATACAGCCTAAATTCTTCCCTCATACAGTTTTATAAGACAGGAATATTTTGTTTCAAGACAGGTTGTATTTAAAGCAAAATATATATATAAACTTGTGCTTAAGAAAATTGTAACCTATAATAAATGATAAAATGTAATCATATAGAAGCTGAACACTGAAAACCCGGATACCAGGCAGTAAACAATATATACATAAAGTGCAGCGCTGCACTTTATGTATAGGTTGTATTTAAAGGTCACAACATTGAAATGTTGCTTGACAACCAGAAAAATTAAACTGTGCGCAGTTTTTAAACTAGTTACATACTTTCAGTCATGTTTCACTTGTAAATGACTATGAAAGTGTCAAAGATATTGGATTAGAATGGCAGCCATACAAATGGCATGTTTAGATAACGATGGAAACTAACTTTTTTACCTCAGTACACGTTTCTTAAGTTCACCTGCCAGCTTTGGCATTAAATTCAGGACCTACAGAGCAGCTCCCCTGAGTAGACATTTATATAGACGCTTATATTCATTGCTTGATGCATCTACACATTGTGCTCCTTTCATAAAGCAGTGGTAAAGTTTTAAGCCCCGTACACATGAGCCGAATATCAGCGGGTTCAATAGAAACTGGCTGACATTTGGCCCCTGTGTAGACCTGCCTGTCTGACAAAAGCAGGCCAAACGGGCATGCTGGAGAACAAGCATCTGATCAGTACTGCAGCCAATGGCTGTGAGAGCTGAGCGGTGTGTTCTGGCGGGGGGGCATTCCCCCTGTCAGAACACAATAGTTCAGCAGGAATATCGCTGTACTAACATTGGATATTTAGTACTGCGACCTCCTCCTGAGCTCTTTAGTTTTTTTCATGAAGCCCACTGGGTGAACAATAAAAACCGATGGCATGTACCCAGCATTACTGCGGCTATGCTGCTGCTTTAGTAAACAAAAAAACATAGCACATGTATAGAGCAGAACAATTTGCTTGAGAAAATGTGCTTAGGGCTCCCCCGGCTTTGGGTCCTCAAAGCGCTATTGTGCGAGTGTAAAAACAAAAAAGCCCAGGAGTAGAGCCCAGACACATGTGACCTATCAGCCAAGTGACTTGTCTCTCTTCCAATCACAGACGTCTCTGCAGCATTAAGCTTCGAGAACTTTGTGACATACGATGGGCTCCACACCTCAGCCTGCATTAGATGAATGGAGGCTGTGAAAGGCAGTCTATGGGGAAAGTAACCTTGCAATGTATAGTGCATCTCTATATCTTCTCTCCTTTATCAATTGGCCCCACAGGAGCATAATAATTATTTTTTGTAGCTCTCACCACATCCTGCTTGAAACAAATTGTTTTACAAATAAAAGGTTAAATCCCACATGCGACCTTTTTTGAGCAAATGGATATACTTTTTGTGTGTGTGTATGTATGTATAAATATATATCCTTTTTTTTTTTTAATTCTTCATTTGTATAGGTTGGTTGGCTTGAATACACGGGTGATTTTTGTTTTTCTTTTTCCAAGCTCATAGTTGAGTGCCACGCTGGGGGGGGGAAAAAAATTACCTGGCAGCACCTGATCATTTTGTCGTAGGGTACAGGGGAATAAGAACAATACTTGCCTTCTTCCTCTCTCCTCAAGTAGCCAGCGCTCTCCTCTGCACCTGGGATGTGGCCAGGCCCTTGGCATCCTCATGTACAATGCAGGACTGCTGTAAGTGATGTATGCATTGTACCCAGTGACATCAGAGAGCTGCAAATCAGTGGGGCAGTGAAAAAGCAGTGGCTTTATTATTATTATTATTATTATTATTATACAGGATTTATATAGAGCCAACAGTTTGCTCAGCGCTTTACAATATAAAGGGAGACAATACAGCAACAATACAGTTCAATACCAGAGGGATAGGAGGTCCTGATCCTTGGAGCTTACAATTTAGGGGACAGTTCTTACAGAGTAGAGGAATAAGGTATTTCACCTTATTTCAGCCCTCCTAGACAAAATGAGTTAAGGGGACCACCACAGCAAGGGTAACTTTTTTTTTTTTTCTCCAGCCTAGAGTTCAGCTTTAAAGTGTATGTAAACCCTAATGGCTTATTTTCTTCCTCGTGGTGCATTAACATGCATTGTGTTAAGTTAGCCTACTCAGAACCAGTGGCCTGCTAATGTATTTTACCGTATTTAAAGGTACATGACCATTTTATCAACCACAACGCACTACCGTGTGATGCAACAATACAGGTGCGTTGCTTTCTGAAGTATTCAATATGAATGCCAATGTGATGCATGTTACTTACATTACCATGTATTGTGCGAACAGTAACCGACGCATTGCACTGGATACTGTTTTGTTAAGCAAAGTTTTTTTTTTTTTTTTAACCTGGAGATTCTGCTAATTACAACACTTCCTAATAGAGGCTGACAGCTGTAAACTGCATGCCAGTTAGCATCCTCATTGTCAACTTTAAATGTGAGTTCCTTTTGGTTGGCTCTTGAGCCGCTTATCTGATAGACCTGATAAGTAGCCTGATGGCCAACTGAAGAAGTGCACCTTGGAGACTGACAATGCTGCTACTATTTGTGAGGTAGTGTGGTTTAGCGTTGTCATCCAGCAACAGGAAATTCTGTTACTGGAAGGATCTCAAGGTAATAAAATCTCTACAATAGCTTGCTAATTGCTTATGCTAACTATATATAATGTGGCATGATGCCCTGATCATATTAAAATTA